TCTTATTCTACTGGTACCCTATAATGTGAATATTGTTTCATTTGGATTGGTCACATAGTCCTCTTATTATTTCATTCCTAGAGATCCTTTTTTTCTCTCTGTTCCTCAGCTTCTTTGTATTCCTGTTCTTTAGTTTCTGTGTCATTTACCATCTCCTCTACCTTATCTAATCTACTTTTAAATCTTTTCATTGCACGTTTCATTTCAGATACTATATTTTCAAAGTTCCTACATTTTTCTTGAAATCCTCCCTGTGATTTTGAATATTGTTGTGTTGCTCTGTGAACATATTTATGATTTTTATTTTGAAATCTTTATCAAGATGATTGATGATTTCAGTTTCATTTAGCCTTCTTTTTGGTGCTTAAGGAATTTGGTTTGTAGAATATTCTTTTGCTGTTTCATATTTCTAATGTTTATTATGGAATAATAACTTTATGTAGGTGGTGCCCTCTAGTGCCTAGAAGCTCTACTCTCTGGAGCTGCCCAGTACCTGGAGCTATGGTGGGGGTCTCACGGAGGAAAGAGCTCTTTCCTGCTTCCCAACTGCAGTGCCTGCCTGCACTGCCAAGGCCAGTGGGCTGAGTATGCAGAGAGGAGCCTCTGCGTTATACCCATATATATGCCATAGGCAGCACTGCTCTCCAGCTGGCCTGGCACAATGGTGGGGGCAGCAGGATTGTGAACTGAAGCCAGCCAGGAAGAAGGAGCAGCTGGCTGTAAAATGCAGTGGGGGGCCTTGGGATTGTGTTGCCAGTCAGGGAATGGAGCACCTGAAGCTCCTGAAAGTTCACAACCTTCTGGGCTGAGTGTGCTGGAAAGGTTTTGTCCACCTGTCCTTTCTCCTAAGCAGCAATAATCCTTGCCCCTTTACCCTCTTGCTACTGGGAAGTATTTCAAAGTCCCGCCTTTCTTTTGTCTGAGAGTGGCTGGGTGTGGGTACCCATTCTCCATAAATGGCTGGAATCTCAGTCTCTCTGAGTATTCCACCTACCTTACCTTTCCAACCCCACTAATCTCCAGAGCACCATGTAATGTGGATTCATGGTCTTGAAAGAGATCTGCAGGGGAGGGTGTTTGGCAGTCCTGTGCTTCTACTTCCTTCCCTCTCTGTTTCTCTTCCTCCTGCTTTTGAGCTGGGGAAGGGAGAGGGCTTGGGTCCTGCCAGATCATGGCTTTGCTACTTTACCCTTTTCCATGAGGTCTTCTCTTTTCCCCAGATGTAGGCCATCTGTTCCACTCTTCTTCCCAATTGCTCTTTCAGGATTAGTTGTATTTGCTATATTTTCATGTTATATGTGGTTTTGAGAGTATGTTTCTGACTCACTTCTCACACCACCATCTTTTTCAAGATCTCCCTTTTTTTGTCTTTTGGGTGATTGACATTTTTGAGAAGACCAGGCCAGCTGTTTAGTAAACATTTTCAGAATCTAGATTTGTCTGATTTTTTTGTCCCACATGATTAGATTCAGGTTAAACATTTTGACAACAATCACACAGGCCAGTGGTTCTCAAATGCTTTGTCTCATGACCCCTTTATATGCCTAAGAATTATTGAGAGCCCAAATAATATTTATGTGTATCAAAATTTTCCACTAGAAATTAAAAATACTTTTTGAAACTTCTAACCAACTCATTTAAAAAACAGCAAACCCATTAGCTGTTAATTTTCCAATCCTAAATAAATTAATGACAAGAGTGCACATTTTTACAAGTCATTGTAATGTGTGCCTATAACTCTGGGCGGAAGATATATTCCCAGCCCAGGGCAAATTACCACTGAAACCAAAATCAGTCAAGGGACAAATAAAGTGGGAGAAACTTGTTTATTGCTTACAAGCAGATTCCACTTCTGCCTACTTCTGCTCCCCTGTGTCTCTTGTCACCTGGCTGCAAAAAGGCACTCCACCAAACTCTTCTGGTCCTGATATGCCCTTGCTCCCCCATGTAATCACCTACTGATATGGAAATGGGCTACTTCTCTCCACCCCTTGGAAACACCTATTGATATGGAGATGCACTAAGGCCAGGCAAGAGATTCTGGAAATATTGCAGTTTTACTCACAGTGCCTTAATAGAATGCAGCTTTATTTCTTATGTGTCTACATTCAGTCTGTTACAATATGTTATTTTGGTTGAAGCATATGAAGAAAATGTGGCATCACACAGATATGTACTTGAAAAATGGAGTGTTTTAATTGTCTTTTCACACTTGATAAAGTCAACATTTCCTTAACCTTCCCTCACAGCTTTTTATAAATGGTTTTATGTTTGGTCATTGTAGCTTTGACATGATTTCATCAATTCTCCACGACATAAAACTCTCTGTCAAAACAAAACATCCCAGGCTCAACTTGTCCATTTTCTGCCCCAGTCCTGGATGAGCCATTTCTCCAAGGGGCTGTGGTTCCTTTCAGATGAAAGTGATATTAGGCACAACAATCTGTATCCTAGTGTTTATTGCTGCTGGATTTTCTTTGCTTCTGGGCATTTTCAGTAAACTCATGTAGAAAATACATCTTTTTGACCAAGTGCAGTTGATCATGGGTTTACACCAAGCTTTCTCAACCTCAGCAGTACTGACCTTCTGTGCCAGTTAATTCTTGTTGTGGAGACTGTCCTGTGCATTGTACAATGTTCAGCAGTGTCCCTGGCTTCTCAGTAGCGTCTAACCTAGTTAGTTGTATGAACTAAAACTGTCCCAGAGGTGGAGTAGGAGAAGGAAGCAAAAAGGCCGTTAGGTGAGAACATTGGAATATAATTCTGTTTCTAGCAACATTAAAATAATTCCCTAATTGTATTATCCATATGTATATGTATTCATGTGTGTGTGTGTATATGTGTATGTGTGTATTTTTTTTTCTCAAAATGCCAATATCAGCATGACTTCTAACAACACCACTTGCTCTGTGGGCTGGTTCTTCCATACTCTACATGAAATCTTTGTCCAATCTCACAGTTTTTAATTAAAAGTAACAGTCTCATTTCAGTAATCAAACTGCACAGATCAGCATTATAGTTAAAATTACAAATTCTCCCCTAATTTAGGATTTCCCTGATGCCCCAGCTCTGCACTGCTTGGAGTCTGAAGCCTGTAGGGAAGAACAAACAAGATCACCTTCAATTTTTTTACCCTGCTTACACTCCTCAGACCCATCAGCAGCTGATTGTGACCTTTCAGGATAAGGGGTTAAAAGGAAAAGCACTGTTGTACTTGGCAGGTACATACATATTGGACTGTCACTGGCATTCTCTGTGTTTACAGGATGGTTATAACTGACTCTCTAGGAGGATACTTTGGTGGAATTCCTGGGGATATTTCACTGGGAAGCTCCAGTTGTAATCTTATGATACAGGTAATGCCTCTCTTTGGACACTTCTGGTTTCAGCCCTCAGCCTCTGGCCTTCCCAGTGGTTGGTGCTACATGGACTCTGTCTGTTGGATCACAGTGCCGTCTAGGCTGTCCTGTTAGGTGGAACCATTTTAAAGAAAGAAAGAATAGAATTTTTATTGACAGAAATATTTTCAGGAAAGTGTTAAAATTAAAGGCATAGAGCTTAATGAATTATCATGGAGTAAATGAAACTGTGTTACCATCATCTAAACCAAGGAATTTAAAAATCATTAGCTGGCCAGAAGTCCCCTTGTGCCTCTTCCAGTCACTCCCTAAAAGTAACTAACCCCCCACCTTCTAACACCACAGGTGGTTTTGACTGTTTTGGAACTTTATATTAATGGAATCATACAGTATTTCTCTGTGTCTACTTATTGTATACAACATTATTCTTGCAGAGTTCATCCGTGTTTTAGCATGGGCTAGACATAAATTCTCATTGCTGTGTAATAATGCATTCAATGAATTAGAGTTTGTTTACATTTTATGCTATAGAAGATATTTGGGTTGTTTTCAGTTTGAGACTACTATGAAACTGCTTCCATATATATTCTAGTAAAAATCATTTTTTTGCTTATATGTATACCTGTCCTTACAGACAGGTTTTGCATTTGCTGTCTCTATCTTCCAAGGCCCTGGGAATATCAATGGTTCTAGACCAGTATTTGTTTCTTGGTGCAGGTTCACACACCAAGTGAAAATCACTTCACATAAAAGCCAAGATTTTTATTTTGTTTTTAGTCATGGATGACTCCTCTCCCCACCCAAATTTTGGACAAATTCCTGGCTTCATTGACATAATCTGCGTAGTGTTTTCTACCCTATTTTCATGGATACAACAGCCTTTTGAGATTCTCCATTTTATGCAACAGGCTTGAGGTCACAAATCTCAGCTTTAAACCCCAATTCTTGGCTCCTCGGTCCTATATCTACAGCTGAAGCTTCTTTGGACCACTGCAGGGTCCATGCTAGTTTATCCCTGTGCCTTTCATTTCTTTCTTCATTTCTGGCTTACAGGAATTTCCTATTTTTCTGGGGTTGGAGTGCTAAACTGATACTGAACAATATGCTTCTATCACATTTTTTTCCAGCATTTGTGTTTGTGGTGTTGAGTGCCCCATATGTACTAGTTTGTGTTGGCTCAAGCTTATATTTCATGGGTCATACCATAAACACTAACTTTTTCTACTTTCTTCTTCTGTTGAATATCAATATTAATCTATTTCTATGTTTTCCTGAAGGTTTAGAAAAGTTTTACTAGATCTTGACTATCTTACACAACTAATGCTTATCAGCAACATGTAGTTAATTTTGAAATGACAGAAAGGTCTAAGGGCAATATGATAATGGCACCATTTAGAAGATGCAGAGAAATCTTGTACAAAATATTTTTAAAGGAGCCCTGGAATTGATTTCTAAGCTCTGTTCACCTCATTAAGGCTCCTAGTGGCACAGGTGCAGTATTGAGCAGATTTGAAGTATCACCAGCAAGTCACATACTTGCTGAATGCGTATCTTCTTTTTCAGTTGTTAGTACATAAAATTTTCAATGGTCCTTAGCTATTGTAAATAATTATACTGTTTCTTGTTTTTTTTTTTCTTTAGGACAACATAACTATTTATGTGCTGGAAGAAACGACTGCATTGTTGATAAAATCCGCAGAAAAAACTGCCCAGCATGTCGCCTTAGAAAATGCTGTCAGGCTGGCATGGTCCTTGGAGGTAATGCTGATATTTTTGTCAGTAATATAATATTGAGTATTTACACTGTAAAACTGTGGGTCAGAAAATCCTAGTTTTCTTATTCATCTTTGTTCTTGCTTTGCTTTTTTCTGTCTTGATTATCGGTGTCTGAGTTAAGCAACAACCAGTAGTATCCTGTTAATTTTATAGATTTTCAGCATGTTGAACTGAAGTCTGTTATGAGAAGTAATACACCTTTATTGGTCTGTGTTGCCTGTGAGAGGATGTAAGGGAAGTTTACCAACCTCTTATTAAGTAACATGGGTTGGAGTCTAGATCTACCTCTCATTGCCTGTGTTACCTTAAATCAGTAACCTTTTCTGGGCTTCAGTCTCCATATCTGTAAAATGAGAGCACTGAAATTCCTTCCAGCTCAAAAACTAATTCTGTGAGTTGATCAAGCCCCTCTTGTGCATTGATCTGTCCCTCTCTCTCTACATCACTCCCTTTTATATCCTTCTCTTTAGGTAACTATATTTTGAGCCCTTACTACTTATCAGGTACTATTCTATGTTCTGCAGGTATAGCTGCACACACACAAAAAAATGAACCAAATCCCTACCTTCATGGAGCTTACATATAAATATAAATAAATATATATGTCAAATGATGGTAAGTGAATGAGCATCCCAAAACAGGTCATAGTAGTATGTATTACACTCTGGGAAAGAGTGCATTAGACTAATAGTTTTCGGTGTCCTCATGTTAAGCACCCTGCTGAATTTCGTTCCTGCTGCCTTTGAGCATGTTACAGTCAAACCCTAATAAATTGCCAAACAGAAGAGTAAGTGATTTAAGACAGGCACCATGCATTGCTATGCAGATAGAGAAAAAGAAAGAATTCTATCTGAGGGAGTTGCTGGTAAAAGCTTCAGAGAGGAGGATCTCAAGGAATGAACAGAGACTTTAGAAGTGGAAAAGGAGAAAACTGTTTACCATGAAAATACTGTGTATTTGAAAAAACATGATGCTTTCCAGTTATGAATGTTCTGGAAAGTCAATTATTTAGTGGGAACAGGAAATTAAACTTAAAAGTTGCCTTGGGCCCACTGGAATCTGAAGTTGACACTATTCTGTTCAACAACTGCATACTTGTAACTCAAGTGTATGGACCCTTAAGTAGTATAGTACTATTTTGAATATTTTTGAACTTTATATAAATGGCTACACTGTACAGGTACTTCCTCAACTTGCTTATTACACTCAAAGTTGTGTGAACATTTTTTTTAGATTTATTCATATTTATACATGTAGCTAGGGTTTCAGTTTAACCGTGGCACTTCATTTCATGAACATTCCACAGTACACTAGCTTATTTTATTAATGAACATTTCCAATTTATATTATAAAATGTGCTGTAATAAACATTCTTGTACCTGTATCTTTGTGCATATGTGTAACTCCGGGAGGAAAATGCCAGGGCAAAATACCTTTGAAACCAAAATGAGTCAAAGGGAGAAATAAAGAGGGAGAACCTGTTTATTGCTTACAAGCAGGCATCCACTTCTGCTTGCCGTATCTCTCATGACCTGGCTGCAGAGGAAGGGGACCCCACCCAGCCTCTCTGGTTCAGATATGCCCTTGCTCCCCCTTGTAATTACCTATTGATATGGAGATGGACTAGTTCTCTCCACTCCTTGGAAACACCTATTCATAGGGAGATGAACTAAGGCCAGGCAAGAGGTTCTGGAAATATTACAATTTTACCCAAAATATGTTTGAGAAGTTCTCTAGGCTATATACCTAGAGAGGAAATGCCTAGATTTATTGTACCTTATGAGATGTTACCTAAATACCAAATCACTCTCTCAAGTATTTTTTCCAGGAGTGAATGAAAGTTCTTTTTACCATGTATCCTCACCTGTATTTGGTTATTTTCAGATTTTTTAATTTTCTAATTTAATAGGCATAAACAGCATCTAATTTTGATTTAATTTGTATGTTTTTGATTAGTGGTGAAGGCAAATATAGCTTAATATATTTATTGGCCATTTATATATCCTCTCCCATGGACTGGCTATTCATATCCATTGACCATTTTTCAACTGGTTGTCTTTTTTCTTATTTTAAGACTTATGTCTTAAAAATGTTCTAAGCCTCCAACCCCAACATAGGTCTTTTTACATGTAAATTCTATATATGCACTATTATCAAAATATATGTTAAGTGATGCCAAATTTTCTTTTTCCTTATTGTTTCCAGGATCTTATCTATATTCTCTATACTTATTCTTTGTTAGGTACATGCAATCTATGTCTTGACTTTCTCCCTTATTTATGATGTCTTCTCATTTTTATATAACCACATATATCAATATTTATCCTATACATCATTTCCCACCCTGAAATCATGCAGATAATGTACTAAAAGTCATACAAAAAACTTAAAAGTTTTAAGTCATGTTCATGTTCTTAACCTATCTGAAATTATTTTTTTATGTAGGGATACAACACTGTAACTTTTTCATTCCAAAAATCATTACAGGATAATTTTTGTTTTTTGTTGTTTTCTTATTTTTTTTTTAGTATAAGAATTATTTATTATTTTTAATTTTTATTGAGGCAAATACAATATAATGCACAAATCTTAGCAGACAGTTTGATGCATTTTGACATATGTATACACTCATTTAACCATCACTCACATCAAGATATCAAGCATTTTCACTAATTTTTTCCCCCTTAACCTATTTTACCCATGCTCTCAGTCCCTTCCCCTATGGCAACCATTAGTCTCTTTTCTGATACATGAGTTTACTTCTATTTTGTTCATTTGTTTTATTTTTTTGGATTCCACATGTAAGTGAAATCATACAGTATTTGTTTTTCTCTGTCTGACTTACTTTACTTGCCCTAATATCTTGTAGGTCTATCCATGTTTTTGGTAATGGCAAGATTCCATTTTGTTATTTTTTATGGCTAATATTCACTGTATATATGTACCACATCTTTTTTATCCATTCACCTATCCATGGTCATTCAGGTTTCTTCCATGCTTTAGCTATTGTAAAAAATGTTCTGATAAATATAGGAGTGCATATAGCTTTTCAAATTAGTAATATTGTTTTCTTCTGGTAACTTCCCAGGAGTGAAATTGCTGGGTCCTATGGTATTTCTATTTTTAGTTTTTAAAGAAACCTCCATATTACTTTCCATAGTGCCTGTACTAATTTATAATCCCACCAGCATTGCACTAGGGTTCCCTTTTATTCATATCCACACCAACACTTATTTCTTGTCTTGATATTAGTCACTCTGGTGTGAGGTGATATCTCATTGTGGTTTTGATTTGCATTTCCCTGATGATTAGTTATGAACATCTTTTCATGTGTCTGTTGGCCATCTGTATGTCTTCTTTGAAAAACGTCTATTCAGGTCGTATGCTCATTTTTTCATCAGATTATTTCTTGATATTGAGTTATATAAGTTCTTTATAAATTTTGGGTATTAGCCCCTTATCAAATATATCATTTGCAAACATGTTCTCCCATCCAGTAGGTTGCCTTTTCATTTTGTTGACCATTTCCTTTGCTGTGCAGAAGCTTTTTTGTTTGATGTAGTCCCAGTTGTTTAGTTTTGCTTTTGTTTCCCTTGCCTGAGGAGACATCCAGAAAATAATTACTAATGCTAATGTTTAAGTGTTTACTGCCAAGGCTTTCTTCTAGGGGTTATATGGTTTCAGTTCTTATGCTTAGGTTTTTAATCCATTTTTGTTTTATTTTTGTGTATGGTGTAAGGTAGTGATCTAATTTCATTTTTTGCATGTAATGGTTGAGTTTTTCCAACATCTTTTATTAAAGAGACTGCATTTTCTCAAGTGCATATTTTCCATCCTTATATTAGTTAACCATTATTTCTGGGCTCTCTATTCCATTCTACTGATGTATGTATCCATTCTTGTGCCTGTTCCATACTGGTTTGATTAATGTAGTTTTGTAGTACAGTTTGAAATCAGAAGCTTGATACCCCCAGCTTTGTTCTTTCTCAAGATTGCTTTGGCTGTTTGGGGTCTGTTGTGTTTCCACACATTTCAGGATTATTTTCTCTGGTTCTGTGAGAAATGCCATTTTTATTTTGATAGGGATTGCATTGATTCTGTACATTGCTTTGGGTAGTATGGCCATGTTTAACAATATTAATTCTTCCTATCCATGAGCATGGAATAACTTTCCACTTACTTGTGTCACCTTCAGTTTCTTTCATCATTGACTTACAGATTTCAGAGTACAAGTCTTTTACTATTTTGGTTAGATTTCCTAACTAAGTTTTCCTTTTTGATTCATTGAATAATTGTAATTATAATACAATTATAAATGGGATTTTTTTTCTTAATTTTTCCTTCTGTTAGTTATTTGTATATAGAAATGCAAGACATTTCTGAATATTGATTCATAGCCTGATATTTTACTGAATTCACTTATTAATTCTAATAGTTTGTTACTGAAGTCTGACCCCTGCTCCTGTTCACACTAGCAGTGTGTGTGTGTGTGTGTGTGTGTGTGTGGTGGGGGGCATAAACAGTGGCACCACGCTGTTCCCATCCTATTATTGAATGGGGGAGTGTAAACAATAGCACATACTCTGCTCCTGCCCACACTCTCAGCATGGGAGGGGAACATAAACAATAGTGCTAACTAGCACCTGGGTCCTATAGAGAGTTCCAGCAGTTTCCCTGACATTTGGCATGGACTTTAGTTCTAAAAACTGGTTTCCTTTCTTAGTGTGGTTGGCCTTTAAGCCCTTTAATCCAAGGCTATTTTTCTGTGCTTGTGGGCAAATTTGTGCTCCACTCCCTCAGTGGTATCCCTTTTTACTACAGGGCCACAGGTGGCATCCCTCTTACCATACCTCCACCACTCTTGCCATTTTACATGTGGTGTGTTTATCCCCCATTGTAGGTGTTCACCCAGGCTTCAGTTCAGGATGAATTCCTCTTTGTGTAGGTGTAGATTTGGTTGTGTTATGGGAGGATTAGGTCAG